TACTGAGTAAGATCTGTTTTGAGGCCATTTTGGCCGACAAGACTGAACAGCGATGCTCCTCTGTAGCAAAATGATCTGAGAAGATACTGTCACTAAAAGCATCACCTTGAGCCCATCTTCACCTCCACCCCCACTACCTCTGTAAAGCCCAAATAATTTTAAGATCACATATAGAAATAAATAGATAAAATGTGTTTCAATTAAAAGGACCCACTCACTGGTTTATGGCCCTAGAGCTTGAGCAATCCATGTTCCTAAAACAAAGAGGACATAAGAAAACCTTGGATGGGGTCCCGTTACTTGGAAAACAACTGAGTCAGCCAAGAAGTTGCCCTTGGCCCTCCCCTTGTTTGAATTCTTGTAGGAGATATACATTCCCAAAACCCAAGGCCTCACTATTGAAAGCCATAACAACAGGATATCCCAGGTCACAATGCCTCGATTTCTTAAAAATGTTCCCGGAATATGACAACCACAAGGTTAGTCCCCTCAGCTACCCCCGGACTTACTCCATTTGATCATCCGGTATTGTAACTCACCAATTATTGTAAAGGGCAACCTACACTAACCAATGCGATTTGCTTCTGTGACTTGCTTGCTCCCCCCCCCCATTTTGTGGTTTTTGCCTTTAAAAAACTATGCCTGTTACACGGAAGGCGCACTCTGCTCCCGCGTGTGCAGACCGCCCTACGTATACGTAGATAATAAAACTTCCCCTTTGTGATTTGCATGAGAGACCAACTCTTGGGGTCTTCCTTCGCGGCGACTCGACCCTTACACCTCCTGTCCCCAAACACAAGAAAGTGAGCACAGACCAGAGACCCAAGAGGTCACTGTCCACCCCCACAGTGGCCCCATTAGCTTCCCACACCCATCACCACCAGGATCTCCACCACCACTTACCACCAGTACCACCCTCACCCCTTTAAAGCAGGTATCTGGACACAGCCTTTGGGCTTCCAGACTACAGTCCGGTGCTCTTTCCACTCTGGGCCAGCAGGAGCCTAGGAAGTGCCACCATGTTGGGAATGAGGAGGAATCTCAGTTTGATTCTGTGGTTTCTCTGTTATGGTCTGGTGCCAGGCATGGTGACGCAAGCCTGTATTGCCAGCACTTGGGAGGCTGAGGCAGGAGGATCACCGTGAGTTCAACACCAGCCTGGACTGCAAAGTGAGTTCAAGGCCAGCCTGTTCTGCATAGCAAAACCCTGTCTCAAAAAAACAAGGGGAAAAAAAGCTAATAGGGTCTCAAACGTACCTGTGCATGAAGCCACAGGAAAGCAGAGGTCTACACAGAGCAGGTCTAGGACCCTTGAGGTGGGCAAGAGCTGAGGGTGGCCTGAGTCCCTGCTGCTGCAGTGGCCAGTGAGCACAATATGGGGCAGGCAGTGGTGTCTGGGGTCTCTGGTCTCCTGTGCTCACCTCCTTGTGTCTAGAGGTTAGGAAGAGCAAGTGACCCTGGGACAGCTGGGTGAGCACTCACCACTGTACTCCACCCCAAGAGATCTGTTGGGCCCCAGAGGAGGAAGAGGCAGGGCAGCTCCACCCCAGCAGCTGTGACCCAGGAAAGCTGGACTTGCCATCTCCTTCTGAAATACACTGAATTTCTTGTTCACTCTTCTATCCCCAGAATCTGGCACAATCGATGGCACACAAGAAGTATTCAATAAATATTTGTCAAATTAATGGGGAAAGAGATGGCAATGACCCACCTCCCCATAGCTCTTCAGAGGCACCACCTGCTCTAGGGAAACTGAGGCAAGAGGACTGCAGTGAGCTCAAGGACCGCCTGGGCTACAGACAGAATTCAAGGCTGGGCTACACTACAGAGTGAAACCCTGTCTTTAAAACAAAAACAGAGGCTGAGGAAATAGCTCAGTGGTGTAGCACCTTTCTGGCAGGAGGGAAGTCCTGAGTTCAATTCCCACTACAAAAAAAAAAAGAACAGGATCTGATTTGATAAATATCAAAGGGAAAATTTTGTTCCACCTACCCCCACCCCATCCCCATCTTATTATGGGGATTGAACTACATCCTCAGCCCCCTTTTATTTCATATTGACACAGGTTATTACTAAGTCACGTAGGCTGGTTTTTTTTTAAAGTATAACATTCAATTTATTATTTCTTTCTCAAAAGAGTTTTCTTCAGTCCATTAAGACCCAGCTCCCCTTACATGGGCTTTGGTGGAGGTCGTGGGGCAGCACCAGCAGGTCTAAATCGGGGTGGAGTAGTTCGGTCCTTACGGGCTTCATGAGATCGATTTCTGACCACTTTGCTGTGAATGGCACAACTCACACGATAATGCAGCTCCACATACAGCTTGGGAAGCACATAACCGTCGAAGACACTCGCTTCGGAAATGTCCCTGATGGCGGCGGCCTCCACTATGTTCCGAATGACAAACTTCTTAATAGCCTTATCCTTGGGTACGCACCAGGCGCAGTTCGTGCAGCAAACAGCCTGCCCATGACCGCAGCCCTTTTTGGCACGACCATTGTTCCTTTTTTTCATCATCTTGGAAAGGAGGACCGGAAAGCAGGCTGGTAATAAAGTTGGTGATTCTCCTGCCTCAGCCTCCCAAGTAAACAATATACAGACATACACCACCATACCTGGCCAGGTAGGAACTGTAAACACATATGCATCTTGTGCCCTAGAGATATGTGAAAATTAACACACCTGAGCCTTCTCACTTAGGACACAACCTCATTGTCAGTGCAGGCACACGCCAGGGCATAATTATGCAACCATGACTTAGTGGTAGACTACTATACGTGTGCCAATGAGGCATGTAAGAATGTAAAAAGGAGGCGACAACCTGTATGAAAAATATACACTAAAGATGCAGGTGGCTCTTGCACTCCTCTCTGCCCCATGCTGCCTGCTGTTGCTGTCTTGCACATGTGCACCTTTTAACCTTCAGGCCTCACCTAAAAATGTCCCTTGGGTCCCCCAAGCTGGCTGACAACTATTCATAATGTTAGAAGTGACACTGTAACAAAAGGCTTTCTGGGATGCCCAAAACTCTGAAAGCTGTGCTCATGTCCCAAGTTCCCTCCACAAGAACGCTTTGCTCCTAACGCACTTAATCATTTATCACCCTCTAGATGACCTCCCTGAGTGTAAACTGTTTGAACACAAAGACATCTCCTCAGCTCTTTCTTTGTGCATAGGAATTACTAAAGCCCATGACTCCAAAAAACTGAGTGTTGGGCCTGGGACATCGCTCAGTGGCATAAGCACCTACCTGGCAAGGACAAGGTCCCGAGTTCCATCCCCAGTACCAAAATTGAAAAAATAAATAAATAAATAAATATTGAGTGTTTCACACAAAAAAAAAAACTAAGAAACCCTGTTTAGTTAAATTTAAAAAGCAGGGGCTGGTGAGATGGCTCAGTGGTCTAAAGCACCTACTTAGAACAAGCTTAGCAAAGCACAGGGACCGCGGTTCAATCCCCCAGCACCACATGCCAGCCAGCCCTGCCCCCTGGTGGGCTGAGCTGGCCACACACACACACACACACACACACACACACACAAATAAATAAATAAATAATTTTAAAAACATTAAAAGGCCACCTGGACCACAGGTGACTGAACTTCCAGGCTGACTGAGTGTGGAAGGTGGCGACCCCTGCCAAGCCCACAAACAAGTGTTACCCAACTCTAAATCAGATTTTTGAACTCTGCTGTCTTCTGAAGGCACGCTTATAGTCTGGACATTGAAATTGCGTACTTGAGAACAAATCGACTTGGACTACTTTATTTGCTTTTAACACTTTCTTCCTGTGATCCTACTATTTCTATTTTTGTCTTGCTAAAAGTTAAATTAATCAAAGATGGGCAAATCAGAGGGTTTTCTTGTGCTTTGTTCTTTGACTAAGGATGGAGTCCAGGACTTGCACACTGAGCCATCCCTTACTCACACAGCACTTACAGTTTTGGGGTGTGAGAGAAGTAAATTAGGGCAGACAGGAGGATGTGATTTATGGGACTTGCACATTTGTCGAGTCTGGTATCTGCGAGAGTAAGACCAGCCCCTTCCAGATGCCAAGGGGTGATTGTACTCACAGTCAAACATCTTGGAGAACTTACTCTGTGCCAGATTTTACATGTTATCAACTCATTTTATTTTCACACAAAAAAAGAAAAGCTCTCTAACACTACGTACTGTTGTCACTCATTTTGAAGGGAATAAGACTGAAAACTTTACCTTCCTGAGTTAGGAGGGTGGATCAGTTATTTGTTTGGATTAAGTTTTGGAGGGCACTTGGCGTGACTCAGCTTCAGAAAAGAGTCACCCATGATATTTGAAGCCCCCAACCCCATCCCAGCCCACTAAGGGCAGAAACAAGGCTGGCTTTGCCTCTGACCCTGCAGCCGGTATCTGAGGGCCTGCAGACAGCCCTTCCCCTCCCACATGGGAGAAAACTCTGCACCCCCCACCCACGCACCCACCAATCCTCTGAGCCGAGACTTGCTCAAGTGACTTTCAACTGATGAACCTGGATAAGGGTGACTATGTCACATCTGGGTTGACACTCTTTTTAAGAGTCACTGCCTGCTTTGCCATTTTCTGTCTTTTCCAGTGAAAAGGGACTGGCACCCCTGCAGACAGAGACAGTCCCACTGGCCTGGGCACACCGATGACAGGGAGCAGGGCTCTTGGCTGACCACAGTGGGGAAAGACACCTTTGCTGCATTAGGGCCACTGGTTCTGAGGCTGGCTTTGTTTCTGCAGCATGACCAGCCTGTTCTGACTGATAGCTCAGCAGACTAAAGCACCCGCAAGCAGGCACAAGGGCCCAGGGTTCGATCCCCAGGCCTGCTATGCCAGCCCCACACCAGGGGTGCACTGAGATGGTGACTGAGACTGGGCGAGGTGGCACGCACCTGTAATCCAGCTCTTGGGAGGCTGTAAGCAGGCAGATCACCACGAGTCCAATCTAATAGTGAAACCCTGAATGCCCTATAGACCCTTCCTTAAAATACAAAAAAAAAAAGACGAGTGACGAACAGCAGACAACAGGGACAGGGTCACAGATTGTTCCCCTGGACTGGAGTAGAAGCAGCAGCCATGTCTCAAGCCTGCTCACTTACCCATTTTGAAGCAAATAAGCTTCAAAGTTCAAAAGGTAGATCTAGGCATTATCTGCTTAGATTTAGTTTAAAACCAGGCTGGGGTAGACGTCATACTCTGGCCTTTATCCCCACAGCCACACCTCACCTGGCTGGCGAAGGGGTCTGGGAGGGTGAGGACCAAAGAGGTGCAGGTGCAGGGACAGGAGATGCCAAGAGAGTGCACAGAAGGAGGTGAGAGGAGGTAGCCAGAGAGGGGGACCCCGCAAGAACAGCAACAGCAGAGGGTTAGGGCCAAGCAGGCAGAGATGGGTAACAATGACAAGCGGACGAAAAGAGATCGAGGGGCGAAGAGATGCAGAGGCCTGGGCTGGGAGAGAGACTGAGATTCTCCAAGAGTGAGGCAGAGACCCAGAGAAAGCCTGCGGAAGCCAGGCAGAGCTGGGTGGCCCTAGACATAGCCCTAGGTGTCCTTGCTGGAGGACGTAAGGCCTCTGCTCTCTGTGCCACCTCCAATGTTCTCCTGGCTCCTGCTAGTCTCCACATAGCCAGTGGACACCGGGTGGACACCAGAAGCCCTGGAACTGAAGGTCGTGTGGCCCCCACTCGAGGCTGGGCTGGAACCCTGTGCTTTGCCGGTACTGGAGCTGAGGTCCCCAAAGGTGCCAGGTCTGGACACCTGGCCTGTGCTGGAGGTGGGAATGCCAAAAGTGACGCGGCCGAATGAGCCAGTGCCACGGCTTTTGCTAGTCCTGTGGCTCAGGATAGACCCAGGCATCCCACTGGTCTTCTGAACGGTCCCCAGGACAGAGACTGTGCTAGACCCCCAAGTGCTAGAGAACCCAGTGTTCAGAGTGCCGTCCAACCTCCTCGTGGCCTCGGACAGCTCCTTCTGGTTCTGCTCCTGAGCCAGCTCCCGTTGCTCCACCTGGGGGAAGGGACAGTTGGGGTCCCCGTGGTGGCTGTGGTCCCTGCCCAGACCCCAGGCTGCCCACTTACCGCCTTCACCACAAGTTGCAGCAGCTCCTCCCTACTCATAGGGTAGCTGTCTTTTGCCACAAAGCCAGGGGGGTCCTCTCTGTGGTGGACAGAAAAAGTCCAGGCTCGACCTAGATTGTCAGTGGTGCCTCACAGTGACTTCCAGAGAGCCTTGGCCACTCTGCCTGGTTCTCTTACCCCAAGACACCCGAAGCCCCTCTTCCCATACAAACTACTGGTGTTCCCTAGAAACACCCCCTTCCTCTTGTAGCCACGCAGGGCCAAGGCCCCAAAGCCCTCCGTCATATTTGCTCCCTGTCCTCCGCCCTGCCCTGGGCCTCACAGATTGTCAGGGAGCTGCAGGGTGTCTATCTTCTTTGGAGGATCCTCCTGGCTCTGGCCCAGCACCAGGAGTGCAGCATCAGCCTCAGAGGTCTGGCTCTGGGAGTGTTAGAGCAGGGATGAGGCTCTGGCCAGCACCCAGCCCAGTCCCCCAGGGCACCCACTATCTGTCCAGTCCCACCTGCATGTCCAGGAAGGCCTGCACAGTCAGGAGCTCCACCATGCGCTTCTCAATGATGGCCAGGAAGAGACCTATGTCTCGATCCCGTGTGTGGGTCTTGACCCCAAGGAGGTCATCAATGATCCTGCTGTCACAATGGGCCTTAGTGAAGAGAAGCTGTATGTCTGGGGTCAAGGAGGGACCTGTAGTCAGGGATGTGTCAGCCCAGGTCACCGCCACCTGTTCTATGGTGACACAATCCAGCCCCAAAGGCTGAAAGGGACTTGGCCCACCTCAGTCAGCAAGATATCACTGTGCACCTAACCTCGGGGCTCAGGAGGCCAAATGCAAGCCTGACCAATGTTCCCTAGTCACATATTTCAGCAAGAAAGAAACCCAACTTTCACCTGACGCACAGATTCCCCTGCTCAGGATGGCACCCACAGGACACGCGCACACACGCACACAGAGGCACACAGGGCTGTTTTCACTGTCCTACTGTCAGACCCCAGGCACACCTGACCAGACAGTCACTGTCCTTGGCTGATTGGCCAGTGTCATGACGCATACTCACCCTGACCACTGCCTGGCCACTTGTATTTTTCTTATTTTTCTTCTTGGAACCGGGAATCAAACTCAGGCCCTTATGCTTGCCAAGCAGACACTGATGCCACAGAGCTATCTCCCAGCAACCACTTGCATATTAGGAACCGGCTACTATTAATAAAGGAAGAAGGTGCCCAGGACCTGGACAGACACCCTCACCTAAAACAGGTCCAGAACCATCTCCATGATTCAGAATGCTGGGCCTTTTTACATACCTTCATTGCATTTTGGGTATTTTTTTCCCTTTTTTTTTTTTTTTTTTTTTTGACACAGGTCGTACTACATAGTTCAAAAATAATATGCATTTTTAAAACTACACAAAGCTGGGCATGGTGGTGCACATCTGTAATCCCAGAACTCAGGAGGGTGAGGCAGGAGGATTGCTGTGAATTCAAGGTCACCCTAAGCTATGTAATAAGTTTAAGACCAGCCTAAATTACATGGCATGACCCTGTCACAAAAAGAAAAGCGTATCATTTTTACATTTTAACTTCCTAAGAGAAGCCTCAGTGGCATTGATAACAGCAGCAAACAAAAATGATCTAGTTGATCAGCCATAGGGAAATGGGTAATTCTGAAACAACCATATTGTTATGGGTTTGTTGAGGACCACAAATTATAAACTGAGTCTAGAGGTCGTCCTTGTCCTGAATGGAACACGGAAATGCTCCGCATTGTCCCTGTCACAGTTGAAGCCCTACGTCTCTTGGCAGTGTGGCACTCACAGGGCAAGATACTACTACAAATGTAGTAGCAGTAGTAAAAGTTTCGCTGGGGAAACTAGCTTCTTATTGACCTTGTTGCACCCTTTCAAGAATGTTTTCTTCTCACACTAGCACACTGTAGCTCCCAGTACTGTTCCTGGAATCACTAGCTACCCCTGACCACCCAGCCCCCACGCACACCCATGACTCTGTCTCTTACGTCATCCTACGCTGTACCACTCATCCAACAGGTGGGGATCTTGGCCAGGTCCACAGAATGGGTTGAACTAAATGCCCCAACATTCATGCCTTGGAGTCCTAGCCCCCAGCACCTCAGAATGTGACCTGATTTGGAAATATGGTCATTGGAGGTGTCATTAGGACAAGGTCATAAGGGAATCTGACCAGTGCCATTACTAAAGGACGGTGGGCACAGACCAGGGGAGATGATGTGAAGAGACACAGGGAGAAGCCATCAGCCAAGGAGGGATGCCTGGAACAGACCCACGTCGGCCCTCAGGAGGACCCAACCCCACCGACAATGTGGTGTCAGACTTCTGGCCTCCAGCTGTCAGACAACACATCTCTGCTGTTTAAGCCATCCAGTGTGAGGTGAATCATTCTTTCGGGTATTTGTTCCCTTGTTTGGTGGTACTGTTAGGGACTGAGCAGGGCCTTTGCCCTGTGCTACATCCCTGCCCTTTTTTTTTTTTTTTTCTTTTTTGAGCAAGTGACTAAATTGCCTAGGTTGGACTCAAACTTGCATCCTTTCTGCCTCAGCCTCCCAGAGTGCTGAGATTACAGGCATGTTCTACCACCACTCGCTCCCTTTGAGGTATCTTGGTAAAACAGCCCTGGACATCAACTAATTTGTAATAGGTTGCAGACCTCAACATGGAAGCTAAAACCATTCTGGTGGAAAATGGAGCATGGCTTTGAAACCTGCAAGCAGGCACTCGAAATGGTAACACTGAAATGACGGAGTAAAGAGCGCCAAGAGGGCATCTGTAACCCATGGGCCCATGCATCAGCCTAAATGCTGCATCCAGTGTGGAGAGCTGTGGGATTTCCTTATAAATCCCATCCAGGGGGCCACAGAGATGGCTCAGTAGAGTAAGTGCTTGCCTAGCAAGTGCAAGGGCCTGACCTGAGTTCAATCCCCAGTTCTGCCATAAATAATAATAATTACTATTATTACCATTTTTATAATAATAAAATAAAAAATTAAAAAATAAATCCTAACCCAGAGCTGCTCTATAACCAAACAGTCCCACACCTGGGCACCTCTGTGCAAATGGATGGGTGGAAGGACGATGGTGGACAAGGTCAGTTTGAATGGGTATGTGGATGGATGGATGGGCACTCCTCGAGTGGACAAACGGATGGATGGATGGATGGATGGATGGATGGATGGATGGATGGATGGTGAAATGCTACGGGTAAAAATCTGGCCTTGGGACGCCGGCTCCAAGGGACCAGCCGCAGACTCCACATCATTCCCGCAGGCACTCACCGGCCTTAAGCTTCTCCAGCTGCTCCCGGAGCCTCTGGGACCGAGCTTCGACCTGCTCTGCCTCGGTGCGCACAATGTCCACACGTTGCTGCAGGGCAACACACTGCTCCTCACGCAGACGCGGGCTCTCTGCACGCACTCGCTCCTGCGACAAGGCCTCCTTGGTCTAACGGCGGAGGTGGGACTGAGCGCGGCTCTTCCCTCTCCCTCCAGGCCCCGCCCATGCCCGCAGGCCCCGCCTCCCTAACCCAAGCCACGCCCACCAAGCGCACCCTGCCCTCTCCTGCCAGGCCACGCCCACACCCTCCAGGTTTGCGCTGCACCACACAGGTGCTGGGCTCCTGGAGCTGGTGGGCCAGCGGGGCGGGGCTGGGGAGGGAGGAAGGGGGCGGGAGGGACTCACCCACCTCTTGGATCTCTTCCTGGAGGCGGTGCAGCTCTGAGTTCTGCTCATTGATGAAGTTAAACTCGGCGAAGTTGCGCTCCTCGACTGAGGGAGACAAGAAAGGCGGGGTCCAGAGGGACAGACTGAGCGGCGCAGCCAGGAAACAGACTGGGCAAGCCACAGGGCCACAGAATTACGGAGTAAGTCCGGGAGAGAGAGCGACTGAGAAAACCACCGACGGAGGTGGAGAGAAATAGAGAAAAGAGATGTTGGGAGGGAAGGAAACAAAGGCTGCGAGAAACGGTGCAGAAACACAGAGGGCAGGGGGGAAGGCGGGACAACACAGAAGAGCAGGTGCAGGTCCCAGGGCGACCGGAACCAGAGGGAAGGGCACGGACCCAGACAAGGTGGGAGGGATTGGGGACGGGCGCGGGGACAGGCAGGCTTGGCGAGGGGCGCCGCCCCGGGCCTAGAAGTACTCGTACAGGGCGAGTGACCTGGGACGGTTCGCCGAGGCTGCCGGGGTGCCACTCACATTCTAGATACTTCTGCACCAACAGGTCAGGATTGCTCTGGCCCGTCAGCTGGGACAGTTTATTCAGGGCGTCCTCATATCGCAGCACTAGCTTCTCCTGGGAGGTCTTTCGGAGTCCTTCCGCCACCTCTACGGCTGGGGAAGCAGCGCGATAGGCTCCAAGTGTGGGCCCTGCCGCGTCCTTCAAGTTTCCCTCCAGACCGCGCCCGCCGAACTGCCCGCCCCCTCCTGGAGGCCACGCCCATGTCCACCAGGCCCGCGCCGCGGGGCACCCGCGCTAGATCTCTGGAGCTGGTGGGCGGGTGGCCCAGGCCTCACCCCGCTGATCGCGCTTCTGCAGGATGGCAGGATCCGTCTGTCGCTCGTTGTTCTTGAGCTTGAGGAAGCGATGTAGCTGCTCCAGGTGTGACACCTGCCGCTGCAAGATCTGCGCCTCGGTCTCGCTCTGCGCCACCTCCTTCTCTGCCCGCTCCCGCAGCATGCCCATCTTGGCCTTGGCCTCCTCCCTGGGGCAGGGCAGTGGGAAATGGAGGGTGGACCAGGGTCAGCCTGCAGTCCTTGGAGGAGCAGTGTCAGCAGAGGTGACAGGGATGGGGCAGTCAGCTGAAGGTCACAGGGAAAGGGTGTGATCATCTGGGTCACAGGGATTTGGCACAAGCAGGTTGCAGTTGCCTGTGATCACGCAGAAGCAGAGAAATTTCTAGGCTCCCAAAGCTGGGTCTCGATGGGATCATGGGCGAAAGTCAGGGCTGGGGTGCCAGGCCTGGTAGGATCCAATGTACCAGCCTCGGCCACCAGTGGGTACGGCTGGGATGCACACAGCAATATCGGACGGAGCCCAGAAATGACTTTATGACCATGGAAGGGGGAGGAAAGACAGGTGATGGGGGCCCAGGGAGAGATTTCACCTAGATGCCAAGAGGTTGAGCCAGGGGTGAGGTAACCTAGGCTACTCAGGGCCTTGGGAGGACAGGTAGGTGACAGGCGTCACCACCACTTGAGCACATAGCCCATTAAGATACTAGGAACAGACCCGCCCCCTGGCCTGCTGAGCTGGCCTCCTAATCCGGTCATTGTGGTGCAGGCCTGTAATCCCAGCACTGGGGAGGCTGAAAACAGGAGGATCACTATGAGTCCGAGCTGTGTAGTAAGACCCTGTACCAAATACACACACACACACACACACACACACGCACACACTGGGAACAGCTATAAGCCTCTCACTGAACACCCCCTGCCCTGCTAGACTGTGAACACTGCTTTTAAATTTTTGATGTACAGCTGTGAATTCAAGGTGCTCCTAGCCTACTCCAAGGGTACAGGCACACTGGCCAGGGGCACAACAGGCCATTCTCCTCCAGGTCCCAGCAGAGACCGCACTAGGTCCCACTACCACACCTTTGCAATCGGGGTGCCACTGCTGAGAGCCCCAGCTTCTCACTCTGTTCAGACGCTGCCCTTAAGACTAACTTAGGCCTCCAGGTAGGGAGCCTGACAGCTGCCAGCCCAGGCCCCAGTGCTTTCTCTGCCTGGAGTTCCTCCCCACCTGAAGAGCAGGAAAGGCGGGCCCCAAGTTATAGCAACAGTTGCCATCCTCACCATCCTGTCTCAGTGCAGGGAACTGAGGTGGCAACAGTGTCCTCACCCCAGAAGCTCACGCCTGGCCATGCCCACAGCCAATGCTAGAGGGCTGTACAGAGAGAAGGTGCAGGAGGGGTGGGCAAGGCCAGGGTAAAAAGAAGCCACCGGGATGGTAAGTTGAAAAATGAGAATAAACAGGAAAAATGAAGAAAGTATTAGCCAGGAGTGGTAGTGCATGCCTGTCGTCTCAGCGCTTGAGGCTGAGGCAGAAGGACTGCTGCAAGTTGCCAGCCTGGGCCTTAAATCTGGACCCTGAACTTTGAGACTAAAGAACCCGCTTAGGCAGACTGCAGCGGCCGGTACGATCCCTGGCATGCTGTGCCAGCCCCACCCCCGGGGCATGCTGAGACAGCAATTGAGACTGGGCATGGTGGCGCACACCTATAATCCTAGCTCTTGGGAGGCTGTAAACAACTGGATCACCACCAGTCCAATCTGTGTAGTGAGACCCTGTAGACGCTGCACCCTGTAGGCCCTG